TTAATTATATATTCTTATGACATATAATATGTCATAAGAAAGCTTTAGGCCTACTTTTTGCAATGATATAACTGATGGACTGTACTGATTTACCTTATACTGTACAGCTCAGCTCAACTACAGCCACTTGAACTGAATGATTGAGATTGACTGACTGTAATATTACTCCTATAGTTAAAAAATTACTCACATGTTCTCTCTAAACATACCTCACTTAGCAAGTAGAAAAACCAACAGTGGCACTGTGGCAGACAAAATATTTCTTCTGGGTAGTTTTGGCAACAAATTCGACAATTACTGTCAGTCTGTCACCCTCCTCAGTGGAAATACAGAGTGGTAATGTTCATCACCGACTAGGCAGTTTGTTTATATACACCGTGATGTGACCCCACCCCGCATATCTGTACCCTCCCAATTCCTGCCCTCCGGGCCTCACCCATGCCTGCATCTGGCGTGCGGCACGCCCATTGCCCGAGTTACTTGACTCACTTCCTGGTTTTGGGAATGTTTTTGGAATTACAATTTTGAGAATAAAAAGTGGGGGGGCCAACCCAGGGGCCAGCCCAAAATCTGGGGGAGCCATGGCCAACCCTGGCCCCCCCATAGAATCGCCCTTGTTGGTGTCGTGTACGTGTTGCTAAATGAAGGATACTGAACATTTTTAGCCAGCAATAAGCACTGAAGGACAAGAATTTCCTCGATAATTTAACTTCAAGGAGGGATTTGTGCTAACAAAGTAAGTTGAAAGACAGGTTTCGTGATTTTATTTTATTTTATTTTTATTTATTTTATTTATTTTTTATTTATTTCATTTTTTATTTTTTATTTACGGGGATTTGCCCACCCAGGCACAGGTCACTGACGGGCGAAAATATAATAATAATAATAATAATAATAATAATAATAATAATAATAATAATAATAATAATAATAATAATAATAAAGAACCATAAATAAAAAAATAAAAAAAAACAATATCAAGAGTGAGAAACGATATACAGTATATACGGTATGTACATTGTGTTGTCAATAGTAAGATAAACAATTGAGTCCCTGCAATTGTGTGTAAATGAGGCAGAATGCCAGATCAGCAACCTGAGATTTGGTCACAATTTTCGTGATGCCATATGGCAGCAGAGTCTACCATTAGACATTACATTATGCTTCCAGTATCTTCTCAGGTGGGAGTACAATATCAAGTTTAATTAGACATATGATATTCTTCTTAACAAATAATCACTTTTTGTTTCTATTTTATTTTTTGTCAAACTGTACTGCACAACTCCACATGAGTAACATCTGTAGATTGACTCCTGACAGGTGGTATAATTTTTATCTTTCATAAAAGGCTTAAATTAAAAAAAAATAATAATTTCTTCAACAATTTTCTCAATGCTTTATTCAAAATTTCAAACATTTTATTTTCACTCTGTACAGTATAGTGTTTAATTAAAAAAAACAAAAATCAAATACCTTTTAGACTGTCAAACAAAGCTCGCAAAACCTTATTAATGATAAATGGCTCTCGAGTTACACTCACTACTCATTAACACAGAAGGTATATCAATTGTCTTGGATCTACGAGCAATTATTATACAGTAAATTTTTTATACAGTACATATTGTATATACATAAGTAAACCCTCGATAACTCAGAATTTCATATAACTCGGCAAGGATATGGTCTCGGAATGTATTATAGTATAACTCGGGAAATGCCGAGATATATATAATTATTTGGGAAAATCTCGGCATATCTGATCACCTACCATGCCTCTGTGTAACCTACCATGCCTCTGTGTCACCTACCACACCTCTGTGTCACCTACCACACCTCTGTGTAACCTACCATGCCTCTGTGTAACCTACCATGCCTCTGTGTCACCTACCACGCCTCTGTGTCACCTACCACACCTCTGTGTCACCTACCATGCATGTGTCACCTACTACATTACTGTACAAGGCTTCATTCTTTGTCTACAGTGCTGGTAAGTGTTACTTTTTTATATTTAGTAATTACATGTACAGTACACATAATTATATGGGTCGCTAATTTTTTATTGTTGTGTTTTTGTAGGAGGGGGAAAGTCCCTCGATACGGAATTCGGGATAACTCGGCAAGGCCCAGAGCCCCATATGTACCGAGTTATCGAGGGTTTACTGGATATGTATAATGATAGATATAATCCTTCTCCAAAATGTACTAAAATTAATAAAATAGTCTATTTAAGGGTACTACTTATGGAAATTAATTATAAGAAAATTTTGATCAACTTTAAACCCAAAATCCTTTAAAAATGTGCAAATTTCTCTGCATTGCTGCTTACACAAAGCGGGTGTTAAAGGAATTACAGTATATATATATATATATATATATATATATATATATATATATATATATATATATATATATATATATATATATATATATATATATATATATATATATATATATATATATACTGTATATATATATATATATATATATATATATATATATATATATATATATATATATATATATATATATATATATATATATATATATATATATATATATATATATATATATATATATATATATATATATATATATATATATATATATATATATATATATATATATATATATATATATATGCAAGTAAATTGGCCTTATATCACATATATATATATATATATATATATATATATATATATATATATATATATATATATATATATATATATATATATATATATATATATATATATATATATATATATATATATACAGTGGGTATGCTATAACGAATCTAATTGGTTCTAGAACCTTGTTCGTTATAGCATTCGTTCGTTATAGGATTAATCCGTTCCAGGCCCCCAAATACAACCACTTAACACTGAAAAATATAATATAAAATTGTAAAAATTGTAAAAAAGTGCATAAATATGCATCTAAACCCCTGAAATAAAGAATATCATTAATATTTGTAATAAAAAAACAATAAATTAGTAAAAAAAAATAAAAAAAAAAAATTTTTAAATAATGTTCGTTGTAGGAGTTTCGTTCGTTATAGCATTCTCAATTTTATAGGTAAAACCGTTCGTTATAGGAATATTCGTAGTAGGATCCGTTCGTTATAGCATACCCCACTGTGTGTATATATATATATATATATATATATATATATATATATATATATATATATATATATATATATATATATATATATATATATATATATATATATATATATATATATATATATATATATATAGCAGAAAAATTTGGTATGGAGGTGCAGGTGGCATAGGGAATAGTCATGCACTACGGTATATCTCTTGTATCTTCATTGGGGTCATTTTTAACTTTCATCCTCTCTGTTAGCTTCTACATTGAAGAAGTTATTTTTATATATACTGTATACTGTACAGGTAATTTTCAATGGGGGAGGGGGGTGGGGAGCAGGGTAATTTAATTTAGTGGAAATTCTTTATACAGTATACAGTGCAAAATATTTATGTGAAATATATATACTATTCAGTAAATGCAGTTTAACCAAATTATAGTAGAGGTAAAAAAAATAAAAGTAAAAAATTTTATTTTGGGGCGGAGAATGGAAGCATTTCCGTGAACTTTCTTGAAATCTATTTGCAGAGTTTGGAATCAGGCATGATCAATGCACCATCTATTCCAAATACTGTACATGTACACATAAAATTTGATTGGAAACCCAGCCTGATGTAAAGTGATATGTGATTTATTCTGGCCCAAAGTTTATAAAAAAAATCTCAATATTGTACCCCGAAAAAAATCGTACTAATTATTACCGATAGCGGCGATAGCCAAACAATTATCAACTACAAAAGCATGTACTATACAGTACAGTACTGTATACAAAAATATTGTGCTCTAAAAGTCATTTTAACATTTCAAGGTTTGCATTATTCTGGAGGGCTTGGTAACTATCTTAGTAAAGAAAAAAAAAATGAGCCACTAAGTTGGGAATGCCACATACTGTGCATAATACAATAACACTGTCATAAATTAGCTAACCTAAAGGAATGGAAACCTTTTCTCAGTTTATAGCAGTTAATATCATTACAGTGACCCCTCGTTTAACGAACACCTCGGTTAACGTAATTTCGATTAACGAACTGCCTTCCATAAGGATCTTCAATTCGGTTAACGAAAAAAAAATCGGTTAACGAAGTTCTTACGAACCGACCTCAACATGTTTTCGCTTGCACTGACCGGGCAACCAGCTTTAGTATCAGTCCGCCAATACATTAATCGGTTCTAGGGCTTAAATTCCTTACTATTTTAGTAAATATCAAGAAGTTTATACTATTCAATAATTTTAAAAGTTTAATATTCAATTTTTTAGTCATTTTAACAATTATTGAACATAATTGAAGGTAAAGTGACTAGTTTAATGCACGGCATCCAGCCTCTTAACACAGCAAACAGGAGTTAGTCTCTCTCTGTTTTCACTGGAGGTAACATCTTGCTTGAGACTCTCTTCAACTAAATGCTTTTTTCTGTGTTTCCAAGCAAATTATTGGTCATTTTGAAATATATTTTACATATTGACAATATATAATGCAGTGCAGTGTTGATTTAAAGAAAATAATCTTGAATTACACCAGAGAGCTAAAATTTTATGGGTGAAATGCCATGGGGTGACTTCTCTTCCACCCCAATGCCTTCTTCTTCCTTCTCCTCCACCCCCATTCTAAATCCCATCATCATCATCATCCAGGAGCCTTCTACATACACACCTCAAAGTAAGTGAACTTTTCTACCATTTTTGTTGAATTTAGGAAATTTTCGGTGAGCTGGAACCAATTACCCAAAAACCCATTGAAACAATGGTTTCGGTTAACGAACTTTTCGGTTAACGAACGACCTTCTGGAACGGATTGAGTTCGTTAACGGAGGGGTCACTGTATCTTTATCCTACATAAACAAACATGATGACCTTACTTGCTATCACAGAGGACAATAATACTGGTGCAGAATTTCTAGTTTAGAACATTGCTAATTATTACAATGCTAAATATAACATGGGACATTACAAGAAATTACCTTTAATATCAGATACAATAACATTATGCTGCCTAAATGTCATTCTTTAGAGTAACTACATACAAGCCCCAAATATGTGATCTTAAAATAAGCTTTTCACAGAAAGAATGCTAATATAAATGACATGCAATTGAAGTCATTCACCCTAAGAAAAAGGTGTCAAGCACGGGCAAAGCACAATACAGTATGTCCAAACAACCTCGCCTCACTGAACACTCCTATACTGTACCATCATAACCTCACTGAACACTCCTATACTGTACCATCATAACCTCACTGAACACTCCTATACTGTACCATCATAACCTCACTGAACACTCCTATACTGTACTATCATAACCTCACTGAACACTCCTATACTGTACCATCATAACCTCATTGAACACTCCTATACTGTACCCTCATAACCTCACTGAACAGTCCTATACTGTACCATCATAACCTCACTGAACACTCCTATACTGTACCATTTGTACTGGCTAGTAAGCTAATAAGTGGCAAGAAGGATAAAGAGTAAAAGAGAAAGATAATTGTCAAATCACTTACAAAAATATTTTTTCAATATACACATACCGGTAATATAAAACTAATATTATACAGTACAGTACTACTGCACTGGCACACTGGTGTAACACTGGAATGTGTAATAAAGAAGCTTTTTATATAGCTGCCTAATTATTGTACCACTACCTAGTGTGGAACCTAGGAGGTATTGCTGGTAAAGACAGAGTTGGGCTGCAACCTATCTCCTTGATATTAAGAACAAAATATATTTGATATTATAAAGAGAATTAAAGCAATGGGTTAAATACGGTACAAGTCATATAGTGAGTGATAACTCTTCATTATAGATGCAGCACACTTGTATACATAATGAAGTAACAAAACCTATGGTTTGGGATCTAGATTTTTATAATTATTCAGCCTGTCCTTGTTCACAAAACTCCATTTCCATTTTTGTGTTTGTGAATTTAGATCACACATGGACACAAACACTTCTTTGTTGGATGTGCTTGAGTCAAGGCAGTGAGTTTCTTGTCCTCCAAACCTGATTAACTGATTCTCCTGTAAAATGAATAATGCTTAATTAATATTGACCCATTTTTTTTGACAGCAACATTAGGAAATCATATTACTGTACACAGTTTAATCATGTATCTTTCTTATCAATGGTGTACATTCGTCCAATGAAGTGATGTCACAGTTTTCAGCATGATTAGCTCAAACAGTGGTATCTGGCAACTTGCGATAGTCCAGTGAGTGGCTGACCAGTGGTCTGGACACTGTTATAATAAGATGGTATATATTAACAAACTCCTGAGCCAAATTTTTCACCATTTAACTTTTTCTGGTATTCCCTCAAATTTTTGCAGGTAAAGGGGTTCAAGATGGGTAACAATAGTAAAAAGAGCTATAACCCAATCCCATGCTTGACAGACGAAGAAGAGGCATGTAAGAAAAACAAAACAGCCAGTCTGGGATGATAAAGCAACATGAGCTGATAACACTTACTTATAATGAACAATATTCTGTGTGTAACTTATTTCCTTGTTTAGAAGTTGCTTTACCCTTAGTACACATTTTTACTTGTGTACAAAGAAATGTATACTGTATTCCCTTTATTTGTTTGCCCTTAGGACAATTATTTCTTTTACCTGTAGTATTGTAGATGAGTGTGTGCAGACACACACACACACACAAAACACATACAAATAATTAATAATGCGAAAATACTCTCACAAATAATAATCAGAAACAAATTTATTAAAAATGTGAAGTCTACCCTCAAGTCTGTGCTTTATTAATAAAGTAATTAAATACGGACTTGAGGGTACACACACACACATATTTACAATACAGGTAAAGGAAATCACTATCTCTAGAACGAATGGCTCCCCGTCTCAGCCGCGAAAATGCCAGCAACTTTAAAACTACCCACAGTCATTCTTGGGTATATCCAGTGTCATCCACAAACTTGGGGGGGGGGGCCTGTAATGTCAAGTAATATACATTATGGGACATCCCACACCATTGCTAAGTGAAATATTTTAGATTGGGGTAATTATAACTTTGGGTTCAACGGTATATGCTCCCAAATAGTCTCCAAACACACACGTATCACCGAAAAAAACAAATCCTACAGTCATAAAATCAAAAGAAAACAATTACAAAATAATATTGACCACATGATGAAGAGCAAGCCTGGTCATGTTCCCTTTGAGGCTAAGGGGACTCTTGCAGGTAGAAAGGAGACACACAGGAGATAACACTTCAGTCACCATAACACAGTTCACGTCAGTGCTGTCCTCTCACTATAAGAAAAAAAAAACACCGATGATAAGTACGTACAATGTACATACAGCCAACGATGCCGAATGATAAATGTGGAGCTACGTGATGATGGGCATATGCGATCAACAGAGAACCGGTGTGCTGGTTGGTCATGTGGCATTGCGAGGGTAGATATATTACCGTGGCTGATGAGTACAGCGAGAAACGTGTTCCCTCTGGTGGTGCATGGGATTAAATATTGTTTCCTTATAAAACGTCACTAATTTGATGTAGAAAAATATAATTTGCATTGCTGGAACCCTTGCAAGACAGCGATTAATTTGAGTACAGTACTGTATAAGCAACCCATAGATTGCACTAAAGATAAAAAAAAATATCCCACCAACGGGTATTGCTAAAGGGAATTTTTTGATTGTATATAGTGAGATGGTCTTAATTCATGATCATCGTTAAAGTATAAATCACTGAACAAAACATCGTTTATCGAGGTTTACCTGTATAAATAAATAAATAAATAAATAAGTACAGTACTGTATGTATGTATCTACAGTACCTATGTACTGTACATGCAGGTATCCCTTATTATTTGAATGTCCACTACCCAAAAATTCACTTATCCCAAAATTTTATTCTTACACCCCTTTTTCACTCTCCACATGCGATCCTCCTTCATCTATAAGATGGTCCACTTGAAAATTCAAATCATCCTATAGTGAATCCCGACCATAAGGTAACGTACCAACTGTACAGTGTGGTATATTTTTTTAGTTTAGCAATTACTGTACAATAGTTAGGCACTTGTAGTTTTTGATGTCTTTGGGGAACCGATTTAATTATTTTTTGATATAAAACAGGCGGCTATATTGGGGGTTTTCTTGTCGTTGGGGAACCAAACCATATTTTCCTCATTTGTTCCGTTAGTCAGTACCAGAATGGTTTTCATGGAACCTAACCTATTCAGATGATGAGGGATACCTGTACAAGGGGTACCACCAAAGGTTGAGTAAATTTAGGAGACCCTTCACCTCCGAGAAGAGAACAGTGATCATTCATGGAAAATTAAGATAATTTTCTATGACCTCTGGGTTGATATATTCTTCTACTATTTTTTTTACAGGATGCAGCTGTCATTAAAAACTTACCATGTCATATCTCCACATCTGGTTACCAAGCCCTTTATGACAACCATAAAGTAATACAGGTGCTTTTTCCCCTTTCAAATCTGGCACATCAAAGCAATTGTGGCTCTTGAGGGGACGTATATCCTGGAGAAAATGTGGGAAGTTAAGTTTGTGTCCCCTTTTCACAAGTTTGCAACTGTAATAACACTTCAGAGAAAAAAACTTATTTTACTTTACAATCTCTACATTCACTACTGACTATCACCAATTTTACATAACAAGCATAGTGATACTGTTACAGCCTAATTTTACACTAAAAATTTAAGTTGAAAACAATAACAAAATACTCAAATATAAAACCTTTCCAACTTTCTCCCTCTTATGTTCTTATAATATTATTCACACGTATGCGTGCTATACTGCAGGTAATTCTTGCAGAGACGCCTCTTCACAGAAGCACATACCCACACATCCATCTATTCCATAGTCTACCCTTTAGCGATATATCATTTCATCATTTAATCTCATACGTACTTTGTACTTAATAAATTCTGCCCAAACACCATATCTTTTAAGTTGACAAGAACTTTCATAATACATCAATCTCTAATTTTTTTGGTTTCACAATCTTCTCAATTTTAAAATCTACACTCAATTTCCAAGACAGCTCAACTCACCAGCCTGTACTACACTAGACTTTCCAATATCAATGACATAAATCATTACCACTTAATTATGAGGGTTACATCACCCTTTCCAAACACCTCTTTCCAGTATTCCTCATGATTCAAGATTTTTCTTTCATTCAATCTCTTGAGTCTCAGCAGTTCATCTGCTGTGATAACTTTTTTTGTACCATCACAGTACAGTATATGAAAGTACAGTGTATATATATATATATATATATATATATATATATATATATATATATATATATATATATATATATATATATATATATATATATATATATATATATATATATATATATATATATATATCCTTTGCCATTCCATCTCAAATTTCTTGCCTATCTATTACAGTTCTACTGTCGGTTGTTCACACACACACCACCATCAAAACACACCTTTTATCATATTATTACTGCTATCCCTAACTTTTCTATACCAAACTTTCATAAACATAAAACAATGTGCATCCTTATGTGCTGCAACTTTCTCTTTTAAACTACTTAGTCTATCAAACATTTGTCTTGTCTTAGAATAATTTTGTTTCAAAATTATTTCTTTCCAACATTCCCTAATTCTTTGGTGCATGTGGTATACCATTACAAATATACAGTACATGTATATATTAATAAATTATTAAACAAAATATTACTTTGAATGCAGTTAGTTGAAACTGAAACTGCATATTTGGTCCGCACTCCCCAAGTGAGTCCAATCTGTCAAATTGTCCTTTCATCTGGGAATCCACACACAAGTTGGTGTTTGCAAGGCTTTGGATCTGTGGATATTATATATATTTTTTAATGAGAATACATTTTAATGTCAAGTAATACTGTATATTGCTAAAATATGTAATAAAAGATAAGCCCTGATAAGCCATTGGCATAAATAACAATGTGTATGTGTCTTGTTGTAATCAAGAAAGAATGATAAGAAATACATACAGAAATCAAAGTTATCCACCATGATCTAAGGAACACATACCAACAGATTCCTTAATCTATATGCCCATTTGAGGATGTTCTGCTGAGTGGGTTTAACTAGATTTGTGACTGGATGAATGGCCCAGCCAGGCATGCTGAAACATGGTGGTGGAATGAAGGAGTAGACAGAGCAATAAAAGAGAAAATAAGATTGTATAAGGCCCAAAAGATAAGAGCAGTACCTGGAGGCCGAGCATGGGGCCAGAAGAGAGATTTACAAGGCTATGAAGCATGAACAAATCATATTCACCATGGTAAGGTGGTTGTTGATAATGAGGAACTCAAGGATGTCTGGAGCAAATACAGAGTGTCTCAAAAGTCCCCATACTCAAAGTTTGGCAATTTATAATATTTTAATGGCTAATGATAGCCATCTATGGTTTCACGCGGCACATGCTGGCAGAGTCGCAGAAGATTGCTGAGTAATGTACCGGTCACGTGACTTCGCACATGAGCGGGTAGAGGGACGTAAGTATGAGTCAGTCGACCATGAGTCTTCTGCAGGCACAGAGGGTCGCTCTGTTGGAGGTGTACTTTGAGTGCAAATCTTATCAACGGTGTGTTGAAATCTTTAGGAGGAGATTCCCCGATAGCCTGACACCATTTAAGACTACTGTTTATGAACTGGTGAAATGCTTTCGTGACACAGGAAGTGTGAAAGACAGACCAAGAACCAGGCTGCAGTCAGTAGTGACAACAGATTTTGTTGCAATCTACCCGTAAGTCATTGCGGCGTTTGTCACAGCATATTTAGAGAATTTACGTACCCGTTTAAATGAAACCGGGCCTCGTCCGTGAAAAATGTCGTGTCCAGCACTGTGACATTGTTGTGTGTGATTCTGTTGAACCAACGGCAGTAGTGAACACGCTTGTCTGCGTCCAACGAGTGCAGCTCTTGCACTACCCTGACTCTTTATGAACGTAACATTAATCGTTTGACAGCCCTGTAAACGGCTGACCGAGATGCTCCCACTTACTGTGACAAACGCCACAATGAGGAATATGGATGGAACAGAGGTAGCCTAAGGGTGAATGGAATAGCCAAAGAGCATGAGAATGAATGCAGCAAAAACAAAAGTACCATTAATAGTGTCAGTGAATAATCCAAGGTGGAAAGTGGAAAGTGGAAAATAGTCATCTGCTGTCTGCAACTCAGAAATGTGGAGCAAGTGTGGAAAATGGGTACACAAGAAGTGCAGTGGAGTAGATGGCAGACCGTGGAATGTTGCTAACTTAAAAGTGTTCTGTACATTCAGGTAACCATGTGCTAACAGAAAGGCAAAAGAAACTCAGCATTGGGGATATGTCCCTGGACTGTGATAATGAGTTCTATTACCTGGGTGACATGATCAGTGTCGGTTGGGGTATTGAAGCCTGGTCAGTTGCAAGAGTCATAAGTGGCTGTAGGAAGTATAGAGAGCTGTTGCCTAAATTGATGGGAAGAAGACCTTTCCTCCACATTAAATGAATTATGTATGCAGCAGGTGTGAAAAGTGTGATGTTGTGTGGCAGTGAAACATGGACAGTTAAAGAGGATGACATAAGTAAACCTGAGCAAACTGAAATGAGAATGGCGAGGTAGATGTGCAGCATGACACTGAAAGACCAAAGGCTCGGGTTCAGAACTAAGAGGGCACCTGGGTATTGAGAGGATTGTGTAGAGGCAGGCTGAGATGGTTTGGGCATATTGAAAAAATGGATGAGACCAACTGGGTCATGAGATGTACATGAATCTAAATGTGGGAGGAAGGAGAGCCAGTGATAGGCCAAGAATGTAATGGAGAGATGATGTAAGAAATTACATTAGAACTAGGAAACTGACAAGAGAGATGGCAAGAAACTGGCAGTGGTTAAACCATGCAAGTGTGGAAAATGGCTGTAAAACATTGCTGATGTTTATAATTTCAGCTAAGCAGATAAGGTTATTCATTCCACATTCAGCCTTCAAGTACATTTATTCTAATCCTTCAGGTATATTTTTTCTAATTAACTCCATCAAATACTGTGCTCTACATTCCTTCCAGTCATCCTCTCTACATATCCATTTACAGTCAATGAAACTTTTTACTTTATTAAGCACTTCCTTCACATTACAGTAGAGTACTCTATTTCCCTTATATTTTCTCATTCTGCATTCAATATTCAATACCATCCCAGAGTTTCACATCAAGTTATCTGGAAATTCAATTCAGAAACATGCACTACACTCCGTTGTACTGTAGGAAAGGGGGTTAGCTACTGTATCTTAAAAAAACACATCCTTTACAGAAGCAATAACAAATAAATGTCAGCAAAATTAAAGTAAAATGGTGTGTGTTTGCTTTTATTTCTTGCCATCCCTTAATAAAGCAAGAAAAACTTTGAAAGAAAGAAATGGAGGTTACCATGAAATAAGTTGTTTGGTAGAAGTTTCTTGGAATAATCAAAGTATAGCAGGTGACAGATTGTAAAGATGAACAAATAAAATACTCATAAATGAAATGAAAAATGTATTTATTACAAAGAAATATATGGCTGCTTTAATCAGCCAGGAAAAGGATTCATTTAGAAGGATAACAAAACTATAAATTAAATAATAATTATAATTAGTACTCACTGTTCCATTGCAATAGTCTGGTGGCTCAATAAGAGGGTAATGTTTGGCCAGATCAAAAGCAACATTTTCCATAAACCACTTGAAGGGTTTACACTTGTTACGTTCCCTCACTGCCAGTTGTTCACTGATGTCTCCTGTGTCAACCTGAAAATTAGATGGATCAATAATGTTATATATTAAAGGTAAATAAAGAGAAATTAGGGAATTAAAGGACATATTAAAATATCATGATATATCTAAGAGGGGAACAAGGGTTAAATATAAGAAATAACAATAATCAATTCATCTAACATTGTCACCTTTTTACAGCCCTTCTCCATAAGTTCATGGGTTATCTGATGGTATGGTGTCCTGGTTGCAATCAGGCAAATTTGAAGCAAATTATACAGTTGGATCAGTGATATCACCAAACCACTTTGAGTGAGTGGGATTGAGGTACCAGCACTTACAGTTGTTACTGGTTTAGTTATTATAATTTAAAAAAATTTCACCGTAAGAATAATTTTGCTTAGTTATCCTCTAATATTTTAGCTATAAACCTAGCAATGATTAGTGTAAATATAGAAGTTTGTGGGTAACAGGTTTAAACATGTGCACATTAAGATACAGTACAGTATGTGGAGAGAGTGGGCTGGATCAGTAAGTCACCATGCACACTTGACCTGTATTTATCCATGTTAATGCATCACATTACAGATGTCTTACATTTCCTTGTAGTCTCCGTTATCATTGTGGGTTTAGTATTGTAGAATATTAGTGTAAAAAAAAAAAGGCTAATTTTATTTCCATATAATGAACTTCTCTCTCCATATAATCCATTTGATGGAGGTTTCACATCTACTGGATCCTCAATACAATGAATTTTCATCTCTATGTGTAGTTCATTACATGGTGTTTTTACATCTAATGGACCCTCAATATATAATGGATTTTTCTTTCCATATACTGTACTGTACTGTATTGTAGTTTGTTAAATAGAGATTTCTCTGTACTGTACATCCAAACTGAATATTTATAGAATCGGCACACTGTTTGGGCTCAAGCAATTCTGATTTCCAAAGTTTGACTGTAGTAAATTTCTGACCAAGTATCGTACATGTTATTTCACAGTGCACATTAATAAAATAAATGAATGACTTACCTGTAGCCATCCAGGTTGCCTCATATAAAGGTATTTTTTATACTCGTCCATCCACACCTCTGCTACACGACGATAATTCTGTAGATTAAATTATACAAGTAGAGCAACAGAGAAAGATCAAAAATTTATAAAGTAAACACAGAAATTTTAGAGTAAATAAAAAAACACTGGAATATCATTGAACCAAATCATAAATACAGTAGGTAAACATGCCAACTCCAACAAATATTACAGATGGGATCCATTTGGTAAATAAAATATACCCCAAGACAATGAACTAGATAGAGGTCAAGGTTCAATATATATTAGGGTAAAGAAATATATAAATTATGAAACCATACAGTAGCAAAGTCAATTTCTTCAGGGTAACAGAGGATTGTGTCTGGGTATCTACTAAGCATGTAGGATTGCATCAAATTTATAAGGGATTCATATGTCCTAACTTGGAGTAATGCTCTCATATCTGGGGTGGCTCTTCTGTCCAACTGTTAGATAAGGTGGAATCAAAGGCATTTCGTCTCATTGACTCTCCTCCTTTAGTTGATAATCTTTCCTCCCTTTCTCTTTGCCGCAATGTTGCTTCACTCCTCTCTTTTACAGGTACAGTACCTGTACTTTAATGGGCAATGTTCGGTGGATTTGGCATTCTGTGTACAGGTTGTATCTCTCTAGTCCGGCATTCAGTGGTCTGGAAACTCCCGTGGTCCGGAACGATTTTAGTTTGTCCAATAGGTAGATAGGCAGCTCTTTTTTTTTTTTAACTTATCTGAATTATTATTATTATTATTATTATTATTATTATTATTATTATTATTATTATTATTATTACAGGAGTATTAAATTTTCGCCCCTCAGGCCCCAATGTGGGTCAGTGACCTATGCCCGGGTGGGTTAATCCCCATAAAAAAAAAACAACAACAAAGCCGCGGGAAATTAAGGTTTGTTTACATCCGGCAGTTCGGCTGCTCTCTCTCTCTTTCTCTCTGCTTGTCTATACAGAGTACAACATTTAACCCTTCAATATATATGAGCAGTAAATAAGTGTTGCTTTCATATTCTTATGTAGAGTAATGATGATATATTTTCACATGTGCACACTTACATACGCACACTCACTTTTTTTTCCTTTACCATTATTGGTTAGCTACTTATATTGTTCCATTTATTAATATTAAATAACATTACTTCAAACAACCATATTATTTTTTTTTACAATAATTTTACTCCAGCTACAATCAGGGTCTTATTTTCTTCAGTTTTATATGTAGAACCAATCCAATCAGTCACTGGTTTTGTAAGCACTAACGAAAACAATGCCGGCAGCCGTCTCGTCTCCTTGTGTGTTTTAATATTCCACGTATTATTAATGAATTTTATTGTTTATTTTGCACACAAACACTAATTCAATAAAAAAAAATCTGAAACATTAATTAAAATATATATGAACAGTAAATAAGTGTTGCTTTCATATTCTTATGTAGAGTAATGATGATATGTTTTCACATGTGCGCACTTACATACGCGATCTCTCTTTTTTCTTTACCATTATCATTAGCTACTTCTATTGTTCCATTTATTAACATTAAATAACATTACTTAAAAACACCATATTAATTTTACTACAGCTACAACCAGGGTCTTATTTTCTTCAGTTTTATATGTAGAACCAGTCACAGTCACTGGTTTTGTAATCAACAAAAACAATGCTGTCTCATTTCCTTGTGTGTTTTAATAATCCACGTAATATTAATGAATTGTATTGCTCATTTTGCACACATAAACATTAATTCAATCAATAAGACATTCAGTAATAAACAATAATGAATCTTTTGTATATAAGAAAAATGACGCTGTTTACACGATTGTGCACGTCATCTGAACGTTGGTGGGCCGTTCAAACCCGTCGAAATTCGAGTTTCCGCCGTTAAAACTTTAATTTTTTTTTTTTGTGTGTGTTCCAATAAAAAAACGTTGAATTAAAAACTCGCGAAATTTGAGAAGCTACTGTACGACATTTAACCCTTCAATATGTCTTCAAAGAGACCATGAAGCAGAGAAAGTGGTGCGAGTGCTTCCAAGCGTAAGCACAAGTCACTATCTATCCAGGAAACGGGTGAATTTCCATGGTCCGGCACCGGTCAGGTCCCGAGGTTGCCGGACCACAGAGGTACAACCTGTAACATCGGCAAGGCCGTGGGCTCGTAACACTCGTCTTGCCCACAGTGCCCACCATTTCTCTTTGGATGTTGGTCACACTAGAATAACCAGTTATAGTACAGCCTTCTTTCCTCACACAGCCAAACTGTGGAATGCTGCCTTCTTCTGTGTTTCCATAATCATACAATCTGTCTCACTTTAAAAAGCTGGTTTTCCAGCATCTTTGTAGTGTAGATTAATATAATCTTTTTCTTTTCTATTTCTAATTTATTTTTATTCTTATTTTTATTAAGTTATTAAGCTGTGCTTTTCCTATTAAGGAAATGTCCTTAGACTGGTACAGTAAGTCCTCGCTTAATGTCATGGTTCCTTTCATGAAAACTACAATGTTAACGGAATCAATTTTCCCCATAAGAAATAAATAAAATATGGGAGTTATGCTCCTGAGCCTTCCTTTGCCCCATGAAATACATTACAATATAGTCTCGATTTAAGCGAATTTGGTTCACGCGTTTGGTCATTTACGCGGCACCTTGCCAGACCGACAATTTTTATTTACACGGTTCATTCCATCATTTACGCGAGAAGCGGCGCGGGCAGGGTGCGCACAAGGTTGCCCAGTCAACAAAAAATTACCGAGTTCTTCACCCGCCAACCACCACAGCCAGCCCAAGTCAGTGATAGTGAGGATATGGACTCTGAGGGGTTTGAAAAAGAGGCCCTGCAAGCCTCTGTGGTGGATAGTGATACAATTGATACAAGTGAAACAGGTGAGGGCCAATAGTCTGCCCTCTGCCTCGGAACCAACCCCCCATCCCCGTGTGCCCAGCCATCTTTTCTACTAACATAAGTGTTAAAAAACCTAATGTTATTGATATTTCTCTTAAATATTAATTGTGTGTGCATACCATCATAAAATTAAGATGTTATTTTTACTACAACGTACGTATTGTGTCGGAAAAAGTGTAGTTTGGGGGTCGGCCCAGTCTTTATTTCAATTCTGTTATTTTGTTTATGCGTTTTTTGTTTTATGCGGCCCTCCACGGGTTCAATTGACCGCGTAAATGAAGACTATACTGTACATGTACAGAAATTCAGTGGCATTTTTATAGAAAATAGTATATATGAGATATATATATATATATATATATATATATATATATATATATATATATATATATATATATATACATATATATATATATATATACAGTGACCCCTCGTTTAACGAACGCCTCGGTTAACGAAATTTCGGTTAACGAACTGCCTTCCATAGGATCTTCAATTCGGTTAACGAACAAAAATTCGGTTAACGAATTTCTTACGAACCGACCTCAACATGTTTTCGCTTGCACTGGCCGGGCAACCAGCTTTAGTATCAGTCCGCCAATACATTAATCGGTTCTAGGGCTTAAATTCCTAACTATTTTAGTAAATATCAAGAAGTTTATACTATTCAATAATTTTAAAAGTTTAATATTCAATTTTTTAGTCATTTTAACAATTATTGAACATAATTGAAGGTAAAGTGACTAGTTTAAAGCGCAGCATCCAGCCTCTTAACACAGCAAACAGGCGTTAGTCTCTCTGTTTTCACTGGAGGTAACATCTTGCTTGAGACTCTCTTCAACTAAACGCTTTTTTCTGTGTTTCCAAGCAAATTATTGGTCATTTTGAAATATATTTTACATATTGACAATATATAATGCAGTACAGTGTTGATTTAAAGAAAATAATCTTGAAATACACCAAGAGAACTAAAATTTTATGGGTGAAATGGTGCCATGGGGTGACTTCTCTTCCACCCCAATGCCTTCTCTTCTTCCTTCTCCTCCACCCCCATTGTAATTCCCATCATCATCATCATCATCCAGGAGCCTTCTACATACACACCTCAAAGTAAGTGAACTTTTCTACCATTTTTGTTGAATTTAGGAAATTTTCGGTGAGCTGGAACCAATTACCCAAAAACCCATTGAAACAATGGTTTCGGTTAACGAACTTTTCGGTTAACGAACGACCTTCTGGAACGGATTGAGTTCGTTAACCGAGGGGTCACTGTATATGTAACCGGTCGGATTTACTGGACTTTAATTTCTCACTTGACTTGGGGTTTATTAAAGATTATTAGATGGTAATTGCAGTGGAAGTGCCCCTTTGAGAGAAATCCCAAACCAGCACAAGAACACTTAAATTTAATAAACAAAATGAATTGTCTGTGACCCGTGGAAGGATAGTGTCTGTGACTGGGATGAATGAGACACACTGTAAAATTTAGACACTTATATTCCCTCCAACACTACAGACACAATCAAATAATGGTACACCAATATGTGCACCTCTTAACCTGAACTTAAAACACTACTCTGGGGAATAAAGGTTATACATGATATTGAAAATATTAGAAATTCAGACAATGCCTCATTAGACAACAATAAATTTAAAGTATTAAGAAATGTTGCTTGCACACATGAAACAGGCCTTAAGGATTTTCAACAAAATAATATCAATCACTGAGAAAATTTTATAAAAAATAAGAAATCAATAACTCTACAATGAATAGGCCTTAAGGGCACTCAACAAAATAATATCCAGCACTGAGAAAATGGTATAAAAAAATAAGAACTTATTAACTCCACCCTGAGTAGGCCTTCAGAGCGCTCAACAAAATTATATTACCCCAACAGATACACACCTCCTAACCTAACTTAAACACTACTCTGGGGAACAAAGGTTATACCTGAGATTGAAATTATAAAGAAATATTAAATGCACACAGCATACATTAGTAACTGAAAAAATAGTTTTAACTACACACAAAAATATTGTCACTATTATTAAGAAGTTACTGAGTCCACCAATACCCGTGAACCATGCTTCCTAACCTAGCACACACACAGATTCCACCTGCACTCCGTAGT